CGATGAGTGCTTGCACTGAAGGGTTCCTAGCGGGAGTTGAAAGATTTGTCGGGGAGACGTAAGACTCGGGTACGGGGGACTCGGGTTGGCCTGACAGGGGCCATCATAAAAATGACGAGACCCAATCTGAAATTTGACGCGGGCTCCCGCTGAAGACATCCCACGAAAACGGGATCGTCAAAATCCAGGACGCGCTCGTCAGAAAAAAGTCGGCAGACCCGAGTTCCGGCTTACTCGAGTCTCACGCGTTTTCCCGAATTTGGCGAAAAAATCACGACGATTTTGGTAGCAAGCTGGATCCTGGGTACCCGTTTCCGGGCTCCCAGTTATTGGTTCCGGGCCGAGTTCGGTGGGTTCTGGGTTCCCGGGCTCCCGGGTTCCCGGTCGACCTCCTCAGCGAAAACCATCCACTGATTGGGCTGTTCTCTGGTGTTTTTTTGTTACGACGCGGTCATGTCTGGGTCTGGATCTCTTGTGCAGGGACCGACCGTCCCAGCATCCCTAATAGTCCTACCACGAAATGTCCTTAGAACCCCAAAATGTTCTAAGAGCAAAAACCATGTTCTTCGAACATAAAGACCGATGTGATAAAACAAGAGAGACTCCGCCAGACATGTTCTAAGAACATTTCGCGAACATTGCAAAAAGGTTCTTAAAACATTGTTTGGTAGGGCTATATCGGCGAGCCGGGACGCTTCGCCACTGCTTGGATCTCGGCGCCCCACCTCGAGGCTGTCGGACAGCCCCTCCGGGAAGGATATGACGAGCTCCGGCGGGGCGGCGCTGCGGCCAGGCACGGGCGAGGCCGCCTCCTCCTATAGACAGGCGGCGCGCTCCACGACCCGCCAGAGGTCGCTGCTCTTGCCATCGCTCGGGAGTCCATTCCTCGCGTACTTGTCGAATTCGTGCGTGCCTTTTTTCGCTAATTCATCCAGAACGCTCCTCCATGAAGAAAAAAGTGCGCACGTCCGAGCGATGCCAAGTGCTCGCAAATAGCATGGATCCACTGCGCCGAGGGCAAGCAAACTGCAGCGAACATAGCATATTCCCTGGACCTTGGCGAATAGGCCTTTCCCAAACACCCGGCCGCTCCCATTTTTGTTGGTGCGCGGGCCCCAGGGGTCTGGCCCACTTCCCTACAGGGCCGGTTTTTCGCCCGGAGACGTCATTTGCCAGTCTCGAGGCCCGGCGAGGGCCCCCGGATGCCGAAAATCATTCAAATCCCGCCACCCCTATTTTTTAGGAGCGTCGGATCTCTGGGTTTGCAAATAGTTGAGCAGGGACCGACCGTCCTGGCATTCCTGTAGGCCTACCACGAAATGCTTTCAGAACCCCAAAATGTTCTAAGAACCCAAACAATGTTCTTAGAACATACGCCCGATGTGCGAAAACAAGACCGTCCCAGCCAGAACTGTTCTGAGAGCGTTTCGTGCGAACCACAAAAGGTTCTTGGAACATTGCTCGGCAGGCCAGATGTTTGGTACACATTATTGCTGCCAGGACGCTTCGCCACTGCTTGAGAGTAGTGGAGCACGCTCGGTGATCATCGGCGATGCATCGGCGATGCATCGGCGATGCATCGGCGATGCATCAGCGATGCATCGTCGACGTCGGCGGTGCACTGGCGACGACGGCGTGAAGCAGATCGGGCTCCGCATCGAGCCGCATCGGCGATGCCTCGTCGATGCGGCGCGATCCTTCGATCCCATCTACTCCGACCCCATCCAGGAGGCCCAGTGGAGCGCGCTCCAGACATTCGGGAGCGGCAAAAAGGGGGGTGTCCAAGAGGGGGGGGTGCAAATCATGACCGGCGGCATGTGCGCGGCCCAGCGGGGGGGCCAGGGACGTAATGAAATAAGAAGGGGCGCCATGAAATCTGGGGAAATATCATGGCCCCCGCCATGATACCCACCCCCCCTAGTCATCCCCCCCCCTCTTTTCCGCTCCCGAGACACGCGACGTCCTGATTTCTTCAGGACCGCGTCCCCAGAAGTCCAGACCCTCTCCTCGGGGCCGGCTTCTCATCCCGACAGCCGTTCTCTGACGCTCCCGCGAGGCCCGGCGAGGGCCCTCCGAGGCCGCAGCTGGCCCAAACACCTCCATCCTGCTTCTTGCCCCTGCGTCGGGATCTCTGCGGTGCAGCGCGCTCGGTTTATTTTGTCCCCATCCTGCTGAAGGACCACATCCCAAAAATAAATTCGAAACAGTGTCGGGCGAGTGCCTCCCAGGGCCCGACGCGTGAAAACCCCCGGGTTTCGGCACTTTTTTCTGGCGTGCAGTAGGTTGGAACATCATAACTAGGGCACCAACAAGCCTACCTCGCTTCTGACCACCCTCGCTTCCAAGAGATACCAAGCGACGCCACACTGCACGGCCTGCGCTGGTCGGGCCGCTGGACGAGGAGGCGCGTGGTATGACTTGGCTTTGCCTGGAAGCGAAAACGGGGGAGGTAATTCACGCATAACGCTCGGTGAGCTCCTCGTCCCCGTGGCGCGCGGCCCCCTGCGGCGCGCCGCGCCCCGCGGGGCACCGCTCGGCGCCCGGCGCCGCGCGGCGCGGCGAGGCCGCGCGGCGCGGCGAGGCCGCGCGGCGCGGCGAGGCCGCGCGGCCCTCGGCCGGCTCCGGCGGCCTGCCGCCGGCCTCGGGCGGGCCGGCCCGCGGCCTCGCCTCGGGGGTTATGGGCTCTTCAGTCGGGCCTGTCCCCCTACATACAGGCCGATGTCGGAGGAGAAATAAAGAATAGTCAGAAGCATACGCCCAAAATGCTGAAACATAGTCCAAACATCGTCCCCTGACCATTTTCTTATGATTTTTGAACGCAGGCCTGTTCCCCCTACAGGCCGACTTGGGGTGAAAAATTATCAATCGTCAGACAAATGCACCGAAAACGCTCAAAAATCGTCCCCATACTATTTTTGTTGGTTCCTATTTCTGAATATCCCTCCTGTAGAGGGACAGGCCCGACTTAAGGTTAGGTCGGGCCTGTCCTCCTGAAGGTGGAGCTGTCGAGCAGAGGATCGTGAGGGACCGGGCTCTGTACACCGACGTGTTCTACGGCCCCGCACTGCAATTCGCACAGGAGAGCGGATCCTGGTGTATACGGGATGGTGTATACCTTTTTTGTGGTTTCCACGGGAAAACGGAGAACATAGTATGCACCACACCACTCCGACGTCGTCCCCGACCCTAAAAAAAGTTCTGGGATTGCAAAACAGCCCGCCACTGGTAATGTGTATGTTCCAGTTTCCGAGATCGACTACAGAATTGATTTCCCCTTAAATGGACTTCCCCCCATCGAAGCTACGACGAATGCGTAGAATGCTCGTGCATCAGCTGAAGACTCTGAGCATGCTTTCTGTAGGGTCAACGAGACAAGTAATTGTGTGGTATAGATCCATTCTGTAGTCGATCCCCTACTCCGAACTTGGGCGAACCATTCCAAACAAAAGTCAGCAAAACCTCAAATCGAATCGACAACCCTCGAGAAAACGTCCCCGTCGACTACGCTTTGACTCATCTTCGAATGCTCCTCCTTTACCAGCCTCGAACGCATCCCTATCCCTAAGATTCACACGCCAAAAGGCGATGACAATCTGAGGGATTCGCCCTCACAAACTGAGGGAACCCCTAAGATTGGCGTCGTGATGAGGAGGTGCCCATAAAACAGGGCTGGGATCGGGATAAAATCGCTCCAGCGCGTTCCGCAGCGCTCTCAGAGCGTTCCAGGACGCTCTGGAGCGGCCGCGGCGCCCAAGCGCCCAATACATCCTCCAAGCCCGCCGATTCTCAGAGATTTCGAGTGAGGAGAAGGAGGAGGAGGAGGAGGAGGAGGAGGAGGAGGAGAGGAGGAGGAGGAGGGAGGAGGAGGAGGAGGAGGAGGAGGGGAGGAGGAGGAGGAGGAGGGGGGGAGGGGGAGGGGGGGAAGGAGGAGGAGGAGGAGGAGGAGGAGGAGGAGGAGGAGGAGGAGGAGGAGGAGGAGGAGGAGAGGAGGGGGAGGAGGGGGAGGGGGAGGATCTTCGCGTCGTTTTGGCCCAGAGGGCCACGCCCGACGTCGAGCCTCGGGCTCCGGCTCCGCGGGGCCCCACGGCAGCAGCAGGCCCGCGTGGCCGGGCGCCGCCTCGGCCAGGGCCGGGCCGGGCCAGCCCTCCTCGGCGGCGCGCCCGAAACAGAGGGCATATATCGGGGAGACGTAAGACCCGGGTACGGGGGACTCGGAAATCCCCGACGAGGTCGTCAAAAAAATGACGAGGCCGAGCCTGCATTTTGACGAGGCCTCCCGCTGCAGACATCCCACAAAACTCCTCCTCGTCAAAATCCGAGATAGGGCTAATGATGCTCCCATCGTGCAGTGGGGGCGTTGACCTAAGGAACCCAAAAATAAGGAACGAGGCCCCTTTCTCCCATAAGTTGAGCTTCGAGCTCCCATGGGAAACCTACGGAAAGCAGAAGACATGCCAGAACAATCAAGGAACACCGAGCCCCGGCATATACAGTCGGGGCGTTGACCTAAGGAACCATAAATTAGGAACGAGGCCCCTTTTTTCCATGAGTTACGCTTCGCTTTCCCATCGAAGACCTACAGAAAACCGAAGGCACACTGTGAAACGATTAAGGAACACGGAGGGGTTCCTTCTTCAGCGCCCCGACTGTAGGGCTATGTTGCTCCCATCGTGCTTCAGGACCACATCCCAGAAATATTTTCGAGCACCCGTGAAGGTGTCGAGAGAGCGTCGAAACAGCGTCGAAGCAGTGCCGGGCGAGTGCTTCCCAGGGCCCGACACTTGAAGACCCTCGAGTTTCGGCACTTTTCTGGTGCTCGAGATTCTTTCTGGTGGTCAAGGCTAAAAAATAAACTGGAACATCATAAGCAAAGGGGGAGGAGGGGGTCTCAGAAGGCCCCGGCCTTGCGCCTCTACAAATCAGGCCAGCGCCTTCTGAGAAGCAGGGGTGCTTCTCAGAAGTCTTCCCCCCTCCCCTGACCCCCCTGAGGAGGAGGAGGAGGAGGAGGAGGCGGAGGAGGAGAAGGAGGAGGAGAAGGAGAAGAAGAAGGAGGAGGAGGAGGAGAAGGAGGGGAAGGAGAAGGAGGCGGAGGAGGAGGAGGCGGGGCCGACCTCTTTCGGCGCTGCCCTGGCGTCTGCGGGGTCTGCCCGGCCCGATGCCGGGCACTCGCTCGGGGCAGGGCCCGCGTCGGCCAGGAGCTTCTCCGGGCCCCCGGCCAGCGCCGCAGCCTCGCGGGGCGGCTGCGCGGCCGGGCCTTCCCAGAACGGCGGTGGCGCGGGGCCCCGCGCCGAGGTGTTGACGGCGGCGTCCCGCCGCTCGACCTGCGCCGGCCTGCCGCCGCCAGCGTGCAGCTGCGACTCCTCGACGCCAACCTGGGAGGGGCTCGAGGCATCTTGCCGTCGCTCGGACGTCCATTTCCCGTGCATTTTTCGGTTTTTTGCATGTTCTTTTTGCTCGATGGTCCAGGATGGTCCTCGATGGTTCTCGCCGGGAAAAAATGCACACGTCCGAGCGATGCCAAGGCATGCACCACGTCGCTGGGCCGGCCCAGGAGCTCGGTGTGCAGGCGCCCCAGCTCCCCGACCTGCAGGACGCTGCACGGAGCCGTCCAGGCACCGCACCCCTCCGCCGAACTCCTGGGCGCCCTCGCCGACGAAGCGACGTGGAGTATGCACACACCGAGCCCCTCCCCTCAGACCCGCCGTCGCGGAAGATGCCACCCTCGCGGGACACGGCGACCCGAGCCCTGGAGCCCCTCTCCCCGCCGCAGCTCCACATGCCTCGAGCCGGCTCGATCCCGGAGGGCCCCGGGGGGGACACCCGCGCGGCCGCGCGCCGCCGCGCCCGGCGGGAGCCCGACGACCGCCGCGCCCAAGTCTCATGAGGGCCCGACGACCGCCACGTCGCGCCGCTGGACGCACGCGTCCAGCACGCCCAGCGGCGCCCGCGGGCCCAGGGCGAGGCCGCAGCACTCCCCGGCGCCGGGCCCGGGCAGGCCCGGGCGGCCCAGGGGCCCCGCCGCCGCGCCCGCCAGGCCGGCCACGAGCAGCTGCAGGCTGCACAGCTGGCGCTGCACGTCCCGCAGCTGCGCGTGCTGCAGCGCCACCAGCTGGCGCAGGGCGGCCTGCTCCTCGCCCGGACCCCCTCGAGTCCTGGAAAGCTCACGGCGCGGGGGGGGGGGTTCGTTCTCTTCGGACTCCTGGGGCCCTGATGGGCCCTCACCCGGCGTCGGGGCCGTCGGAGAACGACTCGGACGAAAAGCCAGTCCCAGGGAAGGGGTCGATACCTCTGGGGGTCGACGTTGCGAGAAAATCATGACGTCGAGGGTCTGGGCCGGGGGGCCCCAAGAACGTTTGGTGACGGTCCGCGTGGTGACCTTGGGACCCCCAACGACCTCACCGCACGGTTTCTGGGACCGTCCCCGCACGACTTCTGGGGCCTCGGAAGGCCCAAGTCGCCCGAGACATCCTCGGAGAACGAGCCAGGTCCCCCAAAACCGCGCAATGACCCTGGAGGCCTCGTAGATGGGTCCGGGAAGATGGGGTCGCACGATTGCACCACATCGCCGATGTATCGGCGATGCACCAGCGACGTCGGCAATGCATCGGCGACGTCGGCGTGGAGAAATCCTACCAGCCTTCTAGGCGTAGGTGGTTTATCGAGTTGTGTCTTCTCTCTGTCAATATCCCTTCTTCCCCTTCTTGGGGGGAGGGGGGTACACTTCCCCCTGCCCCCTCCCCTGGGCCTGGGAAGGGGGGGCGAGAGGCACTAAAGCTTCCAAGATCGCCCAAGGTGGCTTCAAGAGGGCCTCAGGGAGCCCAAGATGGCCTCCAAGATGGCGCAAGATAGCTCAAGATAGCCTCCGACGCACATCCCGAAGGCCTCAAGACAGCCCCAAGACCATTGCAAATGCCCTCCGACCCTCCAAGGACGCCCCCAAGAGGACAAACTAGCTCCTGAACCTAAGGACATTCACTGTTTTTTTGCCTTCTCGCCTTTTCGCTTCCGATGGGCTCTCACGATGGTCCCAATACGGCCCAAGAGAGCACCAAGAGGGGCCCGAGGGCTCCAAGAGGGCTCCAACAGCGCCCAAGAGCACCCCAAGAGCGCCTCCACACGGCCCCAAGACTCAATGTTTGAGCCTCCGAGGGGGGCTGAATTCACAATTGCACAATATGAACACTACTTGATATGAATACTACTCTCCTCTCTCCCCTGGTGATGTCCAGGAAATGGTCGGCCCCCCTCCGCGTACTGGTTTTTTATACACATGATTCCCGGGAAACGAGCTTTCGCATGGGTTTATTGTTAAAAATGCTGCCCTCGCTAAGACGCTAGCTTCATTTTGAGCCACCGCTCGTGCCGAATCGTGCTCCCGCTGCAGCGCTGGCCTTATTTCTGCGCTTCCGCTCGTTCCGAATCGTGCTCCTTCTGCAGCGCTGGCGTCATTGCATCCAGTGCCATGCCACGGCATGGTTTTCGGTCCGTCCAAATAGGCTCCAAAATCTAGAAAATGACCCCACGAAAAAAAGCATCGGAAGTGATTACATTTTCGGTGCCGATTCGTTGAGTTTCTAGGTCGCAGCAACCACCCACTTTGGGGCGTCGCCACGCGTCCTCCGAATCGTGCTATGTTAGGCTCCGCGTCCCCCGGAATCATGCTCCCGCTGCAACGCTGGCCTCATTTCTGCGCTTCCGCTCGTTCCGAATCGTGCTCCCGCTGCAGCGCTGGCGTTGTTATTTCCAGTGCCATGCCACGGCATGGTTTCGGTCCTTCCAAATACGCCCCCAAACCTAGAAAATGCTTCCCCGAAGAAACAATCGGAAGTGATTACACATTCGGTGTCGATTCGTTGATTCGTTGTGCCGCAGAAGCCCCCCTTTTCGGGCGTCGCCACGCCGTGCTATGTCATGCTACGCGCTGATCTTCAGCAACATGCTATGCCATGCAGTACTATGCCATGCTGCGACATCCGATTGCGCGAATAGAAAAGATATATACGCCATGGTAAGGGATGGGAGGGAGGGGTAGAACGTCAGATATGACGCGAGCGCACCTAGCTTGCCCCCTCCTCCCTCTTTTTACTGATGGGGGCCAAGATGGTCCCAAGAGGCCTCCCAGACTTCCCCAACGAGCCCCACCCAAGAGGACCCCAAGAAGGCCCAAAGAGAGCCCCAGAAGGGCTCCAACAGGGCCCCAAGAGGCTCTGCGAAGATCCCAAGAGAGCCCCAAGATGGCCCCGAGAGACCTCCGAGAAAACGCTTCCAAAGCGATTGTTGCACTGCACGCTTCTACACTTCTGTGATCAAGGAAACTCGCCTGGCGATCTGCTTCTGGTTGGGCTTTTTTTGATCGCGAGCGTAGCGGAAGTGCCGAACGCCGTCCGAAAGTCGTAACAAACAAGCTACGGCCTAAATTGCGCAAACAGCCGCTGGCTAGACGCAGGAAAAAAGTGCAAGGTCGCGACGCAGAGGCAAGCTTGTGGGGATGCGCAAAGCGTCAAGAATTCGAACGCCGCACCAGTCACCGCACCGATTGTTAGCACGCCCAGAATGGGCTCGAAGAAAATTGGCACGATGCTGAACGGCAAACGTTGTCCGGAATCGACAGCAACCGCTGCTGGGCAGGCGACTTTCTGTCGTCAGTGGACAACGTCTGCGGCGACACCGGCGGCGAACCCCGCTCAAGATGGAGGGACCTGCTGTCGGTCTTCTCGGGGCGGGCGAAAGGGGGGATAGCAAAGGGGGGGGTTTGAGAATCAGCTCACGTAGCTGATTTTCCCGGCGCCTCCCGGCGCCGGAGGCGGCTACGTATCGAGGAGTGGGCCCCTCGGCGAGGCCGAGACCAGCTGCACGCAGCAAACTGCGTAACCCCCGCCTTTCACAATCCCCCCCCCTCTCGTCCGGCCCGATCTTCGCCCCCCGGGAGCGGCCACGAGGGGGGTGTCCAAGAGGGGGGGTTGCAAATCATGACCGGCGGCATGTGCGCGGCCCAGCGGGGGGGCCAGGGACGTAATGAAACAAGAAGAGGCGCCATGAAATCTGAGAAAATATCATGCCACCCGCCATGATATCCCCCCCCCTAGTCATCACCCCCCTCTTTTCCGCCCCCGAGCACCCCTTCCTTCCGCACCCACTCCGGTCGCTCCGGATTTGGGGGGTTCCCCGTCCTCCACCGCCGCCGGGAGGGCCACGGCGCGCGGACTGGAGCGGCGCACCTGCTCGGGCGCTGTCTCAGACCGACGGCCTGCCAGACCACCCCATTAGCCCAACCCCCGAAGACCCGGATTTTTGACCAGAGTTTCGGGCTGGGGGGGGGATACAGTCGGGGCGCTGAAGAAGGAACCCTTTTCGTTGAGGAGGGGCTCCGTGTTCCTTGATTGTTTTATATAGCTTGCCTCAGGTTTTCCTTAGATCTTCGACGGGAAATCGAAGTTCAACTCATGGAAGAAAGGGGCCTCGTTCCTTCTTTCGGGTTCCTGAAGTCAACGCCCCGACTGTATGGGTTCAATGTGTTTTTCAATGTTCCCCGACCCCCCCCACTGGAAGTACGGAGGGAAGATTGATGCCTTCAGGTTGGGTTGGGGTCGTGCCAGACGTGTCCCTGGCCCGAGGTGTGCCCGGGATCTTCCAGGGAGGCCCAAACCCAGACGTGCTCGCGGCCCGGCAAAACTCCGGGCGGGTGGGGTTTGGTCGTGTTGGGCCGCGCGTGGCCCTCACCGGGCCTCGGGAGGCCCAGCCATGTGCAGTTGCGCGTGCCGACGTCGTGAGCATCGCCTTCGGTGGGTCTCATGATGGGGCCACGAGGCGGGTGAGGGGAGCGCCGAAATGGTGCGGGGCCGCCATGCACGCGCTGTCACTGGGGCCTTCGGTAGAGCTTCTTGTGCGGCCAAGGGGCGTGTGAGCAATGTGCCGAAATGGGCGGGGCGGCCGCATGTGGTACACCTCCCTGGGGCCTTCGGTGGAGCTCCCTACAGGGAGGTTTTTATTACATGGGATTTTTACCACATGGGATGTTTATTACACATGGTAGACTACGAGAAATTGCATATCCCGCGCGCGCCAGAATGCATACGAGTTTAAAACACATGTCCGAAGACTCATCAAAACGCACCCATGCACGGACGATGAAGCAACATGGTCGCTCACTGCCTCCGATGTGCAATTGCGCGCGCGCGCACCAGAATGCATAATATTCTTTATATATGTAAACAAAAAGGCGCACGCACCGGGCCAATGGGAAGCGGCAGTGGGCGCCGCCCGACAACCGCCAAATGTAATCAAAAACCTATGCGAAACGGCCACGGGCACCGCCCGACAACCGCCAAATAATCAAAAACCAATGCGAAACGGCCAGAAGGGCGCCGCCCGACAACCGCCGAATAATCAAAAACCAATGCGAAACGGCCAGAAGGGCGCCGCCCGACAACCGCCGAATAATCAAAAACCAATGCGAAACGGCCAGAAGGGCGCCGCCCCACAACCGCCGAATAATCAGAAACCAATGCGAAACGGCCACATGGGCGCCGCCCGACAAGCGCCTAATAATCAACAAAACAATGCGAAAAGGCCAAATGGGCGCCGCCCGACAACCGCCGAATAATCAAAAACCAATGGGAATGCACAAAAAACATGACTTGCGAGTGGAGAACGACGGCATCTGCGCGCGCAGACCAGAATATATCAGAATGCGAAAATCATGCGCGGACACTACTAATGAGTGGTCTTCGCGCAAGCGCGCTGAAAAAAACATGCTCGAAGAGTAGGAAAACCAAGCCCCGGCGCGCGCGCACGGGAATACATTGGAATAATAATACATGCTCGCAGACTAAGCAAAATGATCCCCTCCGCGCGCGCGCAAGTCATGTATTAAAAACCTCCCTGTAGGGGGCTACGAAGCGTGCACGGGGTGTGCCGAAATGGGTGGGGCGGCCGCATGTGGTGCACCCCCCTTCAGACCTTCCGTGGAGCTTCGCACGGAGCCAGGAAGCGTGCGGGGTGTGTGCCGAAATAGGCGGTGCAGCCGCATGTGGTACACGCCCCTGGGCCTTCGGCGGAGAACCCTTATGGGGCCAAGAAACGTGTGAGCCATGTGCCGAAATGGGTGGGGCGGTCGCATGTGGTACACCGCCTTGGGCCTTCGGTAGAGCCCACTATGGGGATGCGAAGCGTGCAAATGGGTGTGCCATCGCATGTGGTATACCCCTCTGGGACCTTCGGTGGAGCCCCCTGTATGGCAGCGAAACGTGTCAGAGGTGTGCCGGAATGGGTGGGGCGGCCGCATGTGGTACACGCCCCGTGGGACCCTCGGCGGAGCCCCCTATGGGGCCGAGAGACGTGTGAGCAATGTGCCGAAATGGGTGGGGCGGCCGCAAATGGTACACCCCCCTGGGGGACTTCGGTGGAGCCCACTATGGGGATGCGAAACGTGCGAGGGGTGTGCCGTAATTGGTGGGGCGGACACATGTGGTATACCCCCCTGGGACCTTCGGTGGAGCTCCCTGTGTGCTAGCGAGATGTGTCAGAGGTGTGCCAGAATGGGCGGGGCGGTCGCATGTGATACGCCTTCCTCGGGCCTCAGGTGAAGCTCCCTGTAGGGCCTCGACGCGCTGTACTGGGTGTGCCGAACTGGTTGACATGCGGAAAGCAGAAGTAGAGATGGGGATCCCTGGACCTCTCCTGGGGTGCGCTCTGACCAGGATGTCGAGCAATGGCGACGTGGGCCTCCCAGGAGGCCCAACAGAAAGGGAGACGCGGCACGGGTAGCGGTATGAGTACCTTTCTAGAAGAGGAAGAAGAAGAAACCATAAACATTAATATTTGGCGCTTCGCGCGGATTTCTTGGATCTGCGCTGGACCCCCCCTCCCTGCCGCGCGGAGCGCGCCAGGGGCGGCGCCCGAGGCGCCGCCGGGGGCCCCAGCGCGGATCCAAGAAGTCCGCGTGGAGCGCGAACAGTTCATGTTTATGGCGTGTCTCCTTCTTCGCCTTCCCCTCCTCAGAACGTCTGGGTTCCAGCACCGCCCGACCTCTTGGAGTCCCGAAACGGTGCGGTGACGGACCGTGCGGTGACCTCGAAATCCCCCAAGACCTCACCGCACGGTCCGTCACCGCACGGCCTTCTGGGACCCTGGAGGCCCCCGTCGCCCGAGGCACCCTCGGCGAGGGCCTCGGGCCCCAAAACCGTGCGGTGACCCCGAATCCCCAGCGACTCACCGCACGGTGTGGTCACCACCCCGTTTGTCGGGTCGGGCGAAAGTGGGGGATAGCAAAGGCGGGGTTTGAGAATCAGCTCACGTAGCTGATTTTCCCGGCGCCTCCCGGCGCCGGAGGCGGCTACGTGTCGAGGAATGGGCCCTCGGTGAGGCCGAAACCAGCTGCACGCAGCAACTTTCGCAACCCCCCCTTTCCCAATCCCCCCCTTTCGCCCGGCCCGAGTTTGGGGGCCCCCCGAGACCTGCAGGGAGGCCAGCCCTAGCTCCAGCGGCGCCGGGGCGGCGCCGCCCGCCGGGCGGGGGTGGGGCGGCGGCGGCGCGGCGGCCGGCTCGCCCCCGGGCGGCTCGCCGAGTGCCGCGCCTCGGGGGGGGGGCACGGCGCGAGGCGCCCTGCCGTCGCTCGGGCTGCGGGCGAGGCTCGTGTCCAGCTCCACGGCAGCTTGGGGTTCCTGGCGCCCTTCTCCAGAAGCCCGAGGCGCACTGGATACTCCAGATTTCGTAACAAAGGGAGGGGGGTCTCATTTCGGGGGGGGGGTCTCTTCCAGGCTATCTTGGAGGGCCTGGGGGGTCTTGGGACGATGTTTTGGAGGGTTCTCCCACGGGGGAGGCCTGAAATGGCTTGTCTTGGAGGGTCCAGACCCCCTCCATTTTATTACGAAATCTGGAGTACCAATCTGGACTCCCAGAGGCTCCATCGCTATCCGTGTACAGCGCGCCTGGGCCTTGCAGCGCCCCTTCCAAGAACACACAAGACGCACTGGACGTGTACATCAAGCTTGCCATCGCCCTGGCGTTCATTCGCCGTCTCAGCTGCCCCGACACGCAGCACGCAGCACGCAGCGCAGTGATGCGGGACTCGACGTGTAGACCGAAAGCGTAAATCCGACACGGCTCCGTTCGCCAAAGCGTGGGCCAATGCGTCGCGGAGCCGACGCGGAACGCATTGGCGGCAAAGACGCCTTGAGCACGGCACGTGTTGCCCTTCACAGCGGGCGTCGCGAGGCAGCTCAGTTACCCGTGCATTGTTCGGTTTCGTGCGCGCTTTTTTTTGTTGTCCAAGAGGGTCCAAGATGCTCCAAGATGGTCCAGGTGTTCCGGCACTGGCCCAGCCGAGAAACAACGCACACGCCCGAGAGGCGCCAAGAATCAGCACAGGGCGCAAAATCGGGTCGCAAGGGCGCGCGATGTCAACAATGCAGAATGGTCCAGAAACGCCCCAACGGAAGCCGAAGCGGGAAGCCCCATGGCCCAATGGTAAGGGGTCGTTGGCGGCGCGCAGTGGGGGGGTACGGGCGGAAGACTTTTGAGAAGCACCCCTGCTTCTCAGAAGGCGCAGGCCTCCTCTGTAGATGTAGGGCCAGCGCCTTCTGAGAAGCAGCCTCCTGCTAAGACGCCTTTCCCCCTCCCCCTACACCCCTCTGCGCGCCGCCAAGCTGGGATGAGCCGAGGGGCAAGGATTCAAAAGGGCACCCTTCGAAAGCTGCACGTCTTACCCAGCCTTAAGTCGGGCGTGTCCCCCTACGGGGGGATTTTAGATGAAAATTAAAAAAAAGTACAGGGAAATGCTTCAAAATGGTCAAACAAATACGCAAAAAAAAAGTCCCCAGACCATTTTTAAAATATTTTTGAATATTCCTCCTGTGGAAGGACGGGCCCGACTTACACACAGCCTTTGGAGACCCCGCCTGGCTGCTCTGCCCCTCCCCAGACCCTCTGCCCGGGGCACGCCCCGGCCAGGACACATTCTGGGACGAGCCCGCAGTGGCGGCGAGGGCTCCCCTGGAAGGGCCCAAGATCGGCGGTGGACAAGCCTCCCTTTAGTAAACCTCCCCTTAGTGAAAACGGCCTGGGACCGAAACCGACGGACCTGTACCCGCAAAAGTGACGGCCGCGACGCCCTCTCGCGAACCGAAAACGGCCAATTCCTTAATCGACGTGTCAGGGTAGGTCTGTCAACCTCCGACAAGAGAGCGACAGCGAAGGGAACGGGCATCGGTATCGGCAGGTCTCGCCCACCTCCGTTAGAAGAAAATCAAAAGCTGCATAACCAGAAACTTGTGGTGCTCCGCGCGGGCTTCTTGGATCTGCGCCGGACCCCCCCCTCCCTGGCGCGCGGAGCGCGCAAGGAGCGGCGCCGGAGGCGCCGCCAGGGGGACCCAGGCGCCGATCCAAGACGTCTGCGCGGAACGCCAACACGTTTATGTGTATGCCGTTTCCTTCTTCGAAGGTGGGCAGGTCTCTCTAACACCCCCTGCCCTGGGCATCCATACCTCCAATGTCGCGACGGGTCTGACGCGGGCTCCCCGGACCGCCGGACCACTCGAGGGGGAAGGGAGGATGGGGAGGTCCCCCGTTCCTCCTCCACCTCCCCCTCCTCCTCCTCCTCCTCCTCCTCCTCCTCCTCCTCCTCGTCCTCCTCCTCCTCCTCCTCCTCCCCGCCCATCCTCCTCCTCGTCCTCCTCCTCCTCCGCCCATCCTCCCTTCCCCCAGGAGCCCCAGCGCGCTCCAAAGCTCCCCTGGCGCCTGCAGCGCCAACGGCCGCCTCCGCGGGCGCCTCCCGCGGCTCGCTCTCGGCCGCGGGGCCTACGGCCGCGGCGCCCCCCGCGGCCGGGCACGCGGGCGGCGCCGCGGGCACTGGAGAGGGCGGGTCCTCGCGGCGGGGGGGGGGCGGAGGGAGGAGGAGGAGGAAGGGAGGAGGAGGAGGCGGAGGAGGCGGACGAGGCGGAGGAGAGGGGGGAGAGGAGGAGGAGGAGAGAGGAGGAGGAGGAGGAGGAGGAGGAGGAGGAGGAGGAGGAGGAGAGGAGGAGGAGGAGGAGGAGGAGGAGGAGGAGGAGGAGGAGGAGGGGGAAGGAGGTGGAGGAGGAGGAGGAGGAGGAGGAGGAAGAGGAGGAGGAGAAAGAGGAGGAGGAGGAGGAGGAGGAGGAGGAGGGGTAAGGAGGAGGAGAAACATGAGGATGAGGAAGATTGATGGGCCAATCCACCGCTACCGTAGGTAGGATGGGGGAGAAGAGAGGATGGAGAGGTCTTTGTTGACCTTGATCGGACTTCAATCACGGGGTTTTGTGAGATCCTCCTCCTCCTCCTTCTTCTGCTCCTCCTTCTCCTCCTCATCATACTTATCCGTTCCCTTGTCCTTATACATAGTTACCTTCGCCCTGTTACACCCCGCACCCTGAGACATCCTCACTATCTATGACCACAAAGCTTAAACCATGACAGCAGTTTCACGGATTGAGAGAGTGACGTTTTCAAAATGTACCTGCCGCGTTCGCGCCGCGCACATTCGGTTTAAACCTACGCAAAGAGTTTCGCGAGTTGAGGGCGGGTGGTGTTCAACATGTGGCTCTCGCATTAGCGCCGCGCACATTCGGTTTCAATATACGCAGGAGTTTCGCGAGTTGAGGGCGGGTGGTGTTCAAAATGTGGCTCTCGCCTTAGCGCCGCGCACAGTCGGTTTAACACATGCAAGGGCTTCACGGATTGGGTGCGAGTGTTCAAAATGTGGCTCTCGTCTTCGCGCCGCGCACATTCTATGTCAACATTTGCAAGAGTTTCACGGATTGAAGGCGGGTCGCTTTCAAAATGTGGCTCTCGCACTCGCGCCGCGCACACTCGTTTCAACATTTTCAGGAATTTCACGGATTGAAGGCGGGTCGTTTTCAAAATGTGGCTCTCGCACTCGCGCCGCGCACATTCGTTTTCAACATTTGCAAGAGTTCCACGGATTGAAGGCGAGTCGCTTTCAAAATGTGGCTCTCGCACTCGCGCCGCGCACATTCGTTCTAAGCATGTGCGAAAGTTTCGCGGAGTGAGGGCGGGTGTTCAAAATGAGCTCTCGCTTTCGCGCCGCGCACATTCGTGTTTTTTTTTTTTCGAAAAATTGCAAGAATTTCATGGGTTCCCACGATCAGCCTCCCAGAAACGGTGTTTTAGAGAGATTCGGGATTATGAGGGTGCAACAATCACCCGGATTCTGTTCTGGCATGATCCCAAATCGTCAAGAAGCAACAATCAGGTTTATCCGTGGCGCTGGAATCCCGAGAACAATGTTTTGGCATGCTTCAGGGTCTTCGAACGGTTGTCCTCCAACGAGGCAGTTCCCTCAATGGAGATGAGCCGTTGTAGGGGCCTGTGGAGATGACTACCTACCAGACCACCCCAACCATGAGGATAAATCTGAGCCTTCGGGTTGGGTTGGGGTGGTTTGGTGGGTGGTGTGAAGAGGGAGCTCGGAGGGAGGGTTAATTCCAACATCGTTGAGGACTCTTGGGTCTCCACTGGTCCTCCTCCTCCTCCTCCTTTTCCTCTTCCTCCTCCTCCTCCTCCTCCTCCTCCTCCTCCTCCTCTCCTCCTCCCCATCCTACCCATGGCAGTGGTGGTGGTGGAAAATGGGCCCATCAAGGACGTGGAGGATGAGGATGACGAGGACGTGCACGAGCTTTCGGATGACAGGGGGGGACTGGCACATGAGCGGGAACATCGACCTGGAATCGGTGATACATCGCCGATCGATCGGCGATGGGCCCCCGATAGCGAATCCGCGCGCTCCTAAAGTAGGCAGGGTGGAACTATCGGGCCCCATCGGCGGTGCATGGGCTATTGATGCACCTCCCCCCGTTGCCCATCCCCCCCGATCGTTGCCCCGGACTTGCGCGGGGGCGCGGGTCTCCTCCTTCCCTGGGATCCGGGCGTTCGACTGGGACGCAGCAGGACGTGCCAGCACTATCTGTCCTCCCTGGAGGCGTGCGGGCCGACCAGGCCATGCAGTACAACCACATGACCTTGTGACGCCCCTCACGGGGGTAGAAACCAATTGGACGATATCTACTTGTCACCCTCTAGGCTTGCCACCTCCTGTCACCTCGTCCTACCCATCTCCTATTGGTTCCTCTCACGTTTCACGCTTTCGATGTATCTCATCCATCCGCACTGTCCTCCTTGCCTGGCTCTTGGATATTATTTCTCCTCCATTCCGCTCTTTACCCTGGGCTCTACATTCTAATCCTGTATGTCTCCCTCCTGTTCTCCCACATCGTCCTGTGTCATGGGCCATGGGCCTCCTGGAAATTCCGGGGGCCTTCTGGGACCGCCTGAGGCCTCCTGCTGGGGCCTCCTGTTGGCCTCCTGGGGCCTCCTGGGGCCTCCTGCGGCCTCCCGGGGCTTCCTGCGGCATCCTGGGATATCCAGGGGTCTCCTAGGGCGTCCTGGGCCCTTCGGGGGCCTTCTGGGCGCTCTGGGACGCCCTGGGACTCGCTCCAGACTCTCCCGGGGTCTCCTGTAGGGATCT